TTTTCGAATAAAAAGAGCGCGTGTCGTTACGAGTCGCGATTATCGTCGGCAGGAATGATAATGCCGGTCGCCCCGGTGCGTGTTCGCCGGTCGAGAAACAGCCGAGTGTAATCGGAGGGAAAGGTGCGATTTAATCGGCGCGTAATTACGCGACCGTCAAACCGTTAATCCCCGCCGCGCTCGGTTACATCGTGTTCGATCAATGCTGGACGAGCAGGTCGACACGCGCGTTTTCGCGTTTCCTCCTCGCGCGACCTCCTCCGCGTGCGCGCGCGCGCGCGCTTCAACCCCGGCATCGACGTCCCATGCCGTCGTCATCGTCGTTGTTACCCGTCTCTCTTGCACTCCTCTCCGCGGTTATTTTTAGAGATCACGATCGATATGGCTACTCTTTTGCGCGCGGCCTGCTAATAATAAAAGCAACGCAACGCCGTGAGCACCGCGCGTATAATCCGCTCGTTAATTCCATCAATCAACGATTAAGAGGGAGGGAGAAAGGTCCTGTCGCAAATAATAAAAAAAAAGAAGATACATCCGCGCTCTCATTATCGCGGGACACTAGTCGATCGCGCGGACAAATCGTCACGAATCTTGGAGCGATCCGTGCCGTTTCGAACGCACGAGCGACGAGAGCAAAGCGTAAAAGCGGATTTCTCTTTATCTTTGGAAACCAGCTTTCTTGTCCGCTGGAACACGCGGCGGGCTATCGCGGATCCGCGTTACGTAAGCTACCTCCCTCCTCTCCTCTCCTCTCCTCATCGATGACTCCACCACCATCACCGCCGCCACCACCACCACCTCCCCCCTCCTTCTCCTCCTTCTCCTCCTCCTCCTCCTCCTCCTCCTCCTCCTCCTCCTCCTTCTCCTCCTCCTCCTCCTCCTCCTCTTCCCTGCCGCCCTCGCCGCTCGTTCTTTGCGCCTCGCAATCTCGAATTAGCTATATTTCGCGAAATTGAATATACATAAATGCAATTGAAATGTCACTGAAATTAAAGGCACCTTTCACAGGCAGCAGAAACGTAACGGCTCTTTATAAACTCCGGCTAACAACCCTCCCCCCACTCGTCCTCTCAGCCTGTTTCCCCGCTCTGCCCCTCCCTCACCGGCGCGTCCTACTTTCTTACAATATCTGAATATCGAGGTATTAGTGGTATTATAACACGCGTTTTCTCAGCCGTCGAGTGTGTGTGTGTGTGCGTATGTGTGTGTGTGTGTATGTGTGTGTGTGTATGTGTGTGTGTGTGTGTGTGTGTGTGTGTATGTGTGCGCGCGCACGCGCGTACGCTACGTGCTCGACTGCCGGTATACGATAAGCAGCGACTCGAGTTGACTTTAGGGCATCGTTAAAAAGCTCGACTTCTCGAACGCGATCGCGCGCGCTAATGGCCGTCACGACAAACGCGTCACGATAAAACGATAAACGACGCTTGTGCGTGAACAGACAGGTACGCGGTTTTTCCGCAATGAGCGGTATCTCCTGAGTAGCAGAGAAGAGAGAGAGAGAGGGGGGGAGAGAGAGAGAGTCTCTCGAATCGGTGGTGTATATTAGTAGAAACGCGCGAAATTCGGGCAGCGGCGGGCATAACGAGGCGAATGCGTGAATTCGAATGTAATTAATCGGCCGGTTACCAGGCCGGCAGAGCTCGCCGATTTATCGCAGCGCGCTTCGTTCGCACGAAGCGAGGTTTACGAGGCGAAGTTTGCACTCTGATAAGGGTGCGTGATCCTGCCTATCGCTCGGCAGATAAAGAGCGATACGGACGAAACGAACGAAGATAATGGTAGGTGAACGTATTTACGCTGTCATTCTGCCGAGACGAGAGAGAGAGAGAGAGAGAGAAAGAGAAAGAAGGGGGGGAGACGAGAGAGACGAGAGGGCGACCGTCGAACGCGTCCGGAGAAAAAAAGCGGGAGAGAATATATTACGGTATATGCATGACGTTGCGGCGCGAACGATTAAAGCTCAGGGCGATTAGAACGATTAAAATTCAAACGAGATATTCCGCTCGGCGAGACAGACGAACGGAGAGCGGACGAGCGAATTCCCGCTCGGCGCACAGCGGTGCGTCCTCAGCGCGCGTTAAACGATATAATAATCGCTGCGCCTTGTGTGAGAAACGAGTCAAAAGCTAATAACAACCGAGGTCGATCCTCCCGTAAAAAAGTAAATGATCGATGACAGGAAAGGCTGGTTCTCCTAAAAGCATATTGTGGACAAGATAAAACTTGCTCGACCGGCTTCTCGGCCACGATGGTATTTATAATGAAACATGACTAATCTCGCTCTCTCTCTCTCACTCTCTTTCTCTCCCTTCGTCTTACTCTCTCGTGCTCCCCCTTCCCCCCGCCCTCCTGCTCCCTTCCCTTTTTTCTCTCCCTTCCCTCGTCCCCTCGCGTAAACCATTCGCCTTCCTCCCGCTCTCTCTTTCTTACTGTCTCTCTCGCTCGCTCTTTCTTTCCTTCTTTCTTTCTTTCTTTCTTTCCTTCTTTCCTTCCTTCTTTCCTTCTCTCTCTCTCTCTCTCTCTCTCTCTCTCTCTCTCTCTCTCTCTCTCTCTCTCTCTCTCTCTCTCTCTCTCTCTCTCTCTCTCCGACTCTTTCTCCCTCCTTGAATGCTGTCAGAGCTCGTTATCTAGGCCAACAGATGCAGGTATTATTCACACGACGGCGAGTATTTCTAAAACAAACTCGAATCCGGAGCGATAAATAAACAGGCCGTATTTAATGTTATCGTTCGAGGATCTCATAAAACATCTCTGTCACGACTGCGACGTGAGGGAGATATTTTCCTTCGTCTCTCGTCCCTCCTCGATCCTATTCGTTCCTTTCATCGCAGCTTTCCGGCTGAGATTTACCAGTACCGCCGACTCGACAGACTCCTGCTCTCCTTCTCGCTCTTCCCCGCTTTTACTCCGCGTTTGTCAGTATCCTTTTTCTTCGCAATTACTTCGAGATTCGGCCCGATTCAATTTCCGTCGCTCTCGAGCCTCGCCCGCATACCAAACGACTCTCCCCCTTCCGCCTCTCTTCTCTTTCTCTCTTTCTCTCCTTCCCTCGCCAAGTTGATTATGACTTGGGCTAATGTTTTATACCCGTCCGAGCGTGTACGCGTGTGTAAAAAGGAGAAGGAAGAAAAATTATTCGACATTCTCGTCGTATCGACGACGACGACGACGACGACGACGACGACGACGACGACACGAGTGAAACGCACACGCGCAGAACAATGGCAATGCTCTCCGCCGCGACTCTCTTCCCTCCGCGATCGATTTGACGTTTCTCATGCTCGTTAAAACCTATATCTCTGTGTATACGAAGCACTTATCTATATTCGCGCGTACGTCTAAAATAATCTTTATCCGGCTTATTTACTTGTTTCTCTCGTGACAATCGGCGCGCGCCCGCGCGAGATTCAATTTCCTTCGCCGCTGTTCGTCGATTCTCTAGGGACGCATTTACCTACCGCAGCAGCACGGCGCATCGACCATTTATAGCGATCGTTTACAGGTGCAATAAATGTTCGCGTTTGATGCTTCGCACTCGCGCGCGACGAATCGCTTAATAAATTAAATTCGCCGATCGTGCATACGACACGAGGGGGCTGCTCCTTCGCGTTTTCGCTGGAGAAAGAGAGAGAGAGAGAGAGAGAGAGAGAGAGAGAGAGAGAGAGAGAGAGAGAGAGAGAGAGAGAGAGAGAGAGAGAGAGAGAGAGAGAGAGAGAGAGAGAGAGAGAGAACGCGTTTTCCCGAGCGCGCTTTCGCAACAACAGAGAGATACGAGAACGCGCTGCGAGCGAATAAAAATGTAAAGCCGCGTTAAATAAATAAGACGCGCGCGCACTTTACCGAATTGTAATGTCGAAGCGGCCGCACGGTAACGTCGAGGCGCGTTTGCTCTTGTACTTTGAAACTCAATGACTGTGTTTACACACTCCTCGAACACATGTTGCCTTAACCGACGTAAGCGATCGCGTTACCAGCAGGTAGTTAAACCGAGAAGACTTTTCACGAACGCGCACAGCACGCCACGGCATCGCACCGGCACCGGCACGCCACGGCGCGCCGCGCCACGCGCTCAGATAAATATTTCCGCCAGCAGTAATTCTCTCATGAAACGTCGCCGGCCGGGTTAAAAGGCTCCACTCTTTTTTACGCTCTCCTCGCTCTACCCTCGCGCGCGCGCCACGTATACCGAATAATATCGCGCCGCCATTCGCCCGCTATATCGATTATCGGAGCGCGCGAGAATCGCCAACTATGAAATTGATGGAAAGCGCGCGCGCGCGCGCGCGCGCTTTTTTATTCTCGCCGATGCAACTTCGCGGCAGTGCCGACGCTATTTTCGCCGCGTCCCGTGGCGATGACGCGAGATTTCTGCTCGTTTTGCCACTCGAACGAGCGAGCGAAACGATCTCTCCCGTTGTTCTCCGTTTCTTCTCGTTTCGGATACGTCCCGTCGTCTCTTTCTCGCTCCTCGTGTCTCTGTCCCTCCCTCTCCACTCCCCCCCACCCCGCGTACATTCAATTACCACGACTCGCAGGTTGTTGGTCCGCGTTGCATCGCGAAATTACAACGTTAATAAACGGGGTATTTAAGTTCGTGGATGGAAAACGCCGCTATTCAGAGAGAGAGAGAGAGAGAGAGTGAGAGAGAGAGAGACATAGAGAGACTACACGTCCGTATCTACTACTACTACTACTATTCCTGCTGCTGCTGCTGCTGCTGCTGCTGCTGCCTCACCCTTTCCGAGACGCTCGCCCCGCTGCTCCCCTAGTAACTACCCCGCGCGCCCCCTACCATCGAATCAGCCACCTCTGCTAGGTACCTCTTTGCTACCTCTCCCTCTCCCCCGACGCTCTCTCGCTTATAGAATTCTTTTCCCCCTCTGCGCCGCGCCTAGCCGCGCCGATCCCTCCAACCAACGGTTCGTACTTCGTAGTACCGTCGTCTTCCCCTGTCGCGGCGCTCATCCCCACCACCGGCGCACCGCCGCGAACCAATATTCCCGGAGTCATTGCCGCGCCGACCACCGCGAGGAGCGCGTGTCGAATTCGTTACGTTGTCATTCATCGTTTCTGGTGAGAGCCGCGCGCACGTCTCGCTACGGGACGCGCTCGAGACGTCATCGTATCGCATCGTGCATCGCATCGCGGCCTGTCGGGGTTCTCGTTGAACATTATCCGGTCGTGCTGTTGTACGTGAGACGTGACGCGACGTGACGTGACGTGACGTGACGTGACGTGACGCGACGCGACGCGCCACGTCGAGCTCGCCCGCACACGTTCGCCGCGCTTTCGGAGCGCAAATGTGCTTTCTAACCTCTCGCGCTTCTCGTCGTCCGTCGTTCAGTGATACAAACCCGCCGGAATCGTACGCGAAGAGTGATCGTGTGTATCATCCTCGTGGTCAGGCAGTGTCGCTCGAGGGAGCGTGATCGCGCACGAGCCGACGGTATTACACACGGATTGCGCACGAAAGTCGCCCGGCCCGGCTGATACTCCGGGGACTACCTCGGCTACCTCGTTGCACGCGCGCACTGGCTGCGCTTCACGTGTCGTAAGCTGGATCCGGCGCCGGTAAGTGAGGCGGCAGTTCCCTTTAATTAACGCGATCGTGCGCGTCGCGCATATGTACGATCCGGAACGGCATGGGACGTGGGTGTTGAAGGAGGAAGAAGGGGCTGGTGGGGCGGCGGCAGGCTTGCCGGGAAGGGGCAACGAGACGCGAGGGAGTCCACCACCGCGTGCGTGGTGTGTGGACGAAAGCGCGGCGTGTATCCGTCCGATTCGGTGCGCGAGGTGCGAGCGCCACGTGGCGCCATCTCGAGGGACCCGGACGAAACGCGCCGCGGAAGCGTGGTAATTCGGAATTACACACCCATGACGACTGTTCGTTCTGACGTAACACGCGCTCGCGCTCGCTTTTGTTCCTCACTCTTTCTCTCTCTCTCTCTCTCTCTCTCTCTCTCTCTCTCTCTCTCTCTCTCTCTCTCTCTCTTCTTCCCTTCGTCCCTTTAATCGCCCCCTTTTCGCTTCTCGCACTGACCTCGTCGTCGTCACCGAGACGAAGGTTCTTCCGTCGTCGTTCGAATCGCCCCTTCGGCCACGGCGATCTATACGCGGTGCGTGATCCTTTTCCGTTACTCCATTTTGAATAAGTTACGACTGCAGCACATACTCACACACACACACACACACATACACACACACACACACATACACACACATATACGCGGCTTCATCAATAATACATCCGAAGAAATTGCCGCGCGGAATTTGCATGTTGGATACCGTCGAGCGCGCGGGATAATCGAGCCGGTCGTCGGTGTTCGTTCGATTGACCATCTTCGCGAATCTTTTCTTGGGCTGTTTGACGTTTTTTGTAGCCGCGCCTTCGCCTCCGTTCCTTCTTGTGCGAGTGGCCCGCATAAACGGTCAGCCGTGTGTCTAATAATAAACGTTTTGTGGCTGCAGACGAAGCGATAATGTTAAGTTAATTACCGCGTCATCATAGCAACATGCGGCGATTATATCATCGATTATGATATCACACTCTCGTGTAATGATCGTGTAAACAATAGACTAATAACCGCGGTCGTGCAGCTACGTGAATAATGAGTAATTAATTTTTTCATCCATCGGAAATTATCGGGCGAAACTCGCGCGCGGTGGCAATGATACGTCGTCGTCGTCGTCGTCGTCGTCGTCGTCGTCGTCGTCGTCGTCGTCGTCGTCGTCGTCGTCGTCGTCGTCGTCGTCGTCGTCGTCGTCGTTGGCTTGTTCTTCTCTTTCGTTGGTTGCCACGTAACGACCAGCTGCCCCGCCGCACAGAGCACGGCTCTATTCCCGGCGGCGTAGTAGTTGAAATCAGATAAAAAAGAAGAACACTTTGCCCGCGTGCTCTCGCAAACAGGTTGCTGGATGGAAACGGCTTAATTAGTATAACTTAGCGCGACTACTTATCGTTATGTACAATGTGACTCGAGGTGTCCTTGTTGCGGCGAGAAAACTTGCAACGCAACGCTGACGCAAATCAAACTCGCGCATTTCGCGTTATTCTAATGAACATCATCGTAACGACACGTATGCTTTATCGTTTCTTCCTGACGCGCGCGCGCGCGCGCATGCGCACGGACGGCGCGAGAATGTCGCGTAAACAACTTCGAAATAAATTCTTCCGTCGCATTGTCTCGGCGAGGAATTAATTAAATTGATACGCGCACACGAACGTTCGCTAGTGCACAGTGCTTTATCGTAAATCGATAGAGCTCGAGCCAACTTTACGCGTACGGAAAGGGAGAGACAGAGCGAGAGAGAGAGAGAGAGAGAGACAGAGAGAGAGAGACAGAGAGAGAGAGAGAGAGAGAGAGAGAGAGAGAGAGAGAGAGAGAGAGAGAGAGAGAGAGAGAGAGAGAGATGGATGGATAGATAGATAGATAGATAGATAGAGGGAGAGGAGCGGAACGGGAAGGGGGGACAGATTATACGTTTGTGCAAGAATCATCAATTATTCATTGTCCGCTTCTGTTGATATAAATCGAATTTATTCTTACGTAATTTGTAGGCGCGTGCGTGCCCGTCGACGACAACGTTGGCAACGACGTGGTCGAAGCGGAAGAATGATCGCTAATAACGTCTAATGTATCGTGGCCTATTCGAGAGAGCGAAACGCGAACACAATCGCGCGCAGAAAGAGCCGAGGACGACGTCGAAAATGACGGCGGCCGCGCGCGCTCGTTATATCCCATAACGAGATCGAAACGAGCGAGTAATTTTGAATTCTCAGGCGATCTGCGGTCTTTCGTCGTTGCGGTCTCCGCTCAAAAACAACGAGGATATCCGTCTCTCGCGTGCCTCGCAGCAGAATGTCATTCATTCCGCCGGGGTGGATCTTCCTCTTTTCAGCCGGCGAGCGAAATGCGCAATCTTGTAATAAAAAAAGTTTGCGCGAAAACGCGAAATGCTATTCTTTCTCTTTCCTCCCCCCCTCTCTCTCTCTCTCTCTCTCTCTCTCTCTCTCTCTCTTATCGAGATAAGTGTAAATGGCATTTATGCAAATATATGCGTTCACATCCCACTGAGAATTTTGCTTCCATCTCTCATTATTTTCTCTCTTGTCGCATTTGATTTCTTCTTCTCCCGCTCGCTGTTTCGACGGAAACGCGCCACGGCGAAGTAAATTTTGCATAATACATGCTCGCGCCACGTTCGAAAGATGGCAGAACGAATTCATACATATATGCGTTACCTCGTTTCGCGTCGTGAAAATTTGGATTCCGAGCGACTCGATCGTCTCCGTCGATTCGCGCCTATCACAAAACGCGTTTTCTATTATACGAGACACCGGTTAACGCGTGAATCGCGGGATTCCCCGTCTCCGTCTTTTGCGTCGTACGTAGCGCGAGGAGCCGCCGGAAAATATCAAACGACAATTCTCCCGTGAGGAGAGGGGAACGCGAAGGAATGTGAACGTCTCATTAATCTGTTGTCGAATTTCGGTGTCAAATTGCCGGTTTTCCTACGAGGGAACCCGATCCTCTCTCTCGGGTCAGGTACGAGAAAGAGAGCAGGACGGAGAGCAAAGTGCATCTCGCGGCAGATTTAACGTCGATTACAGGGAGTAAAGGTCCACTGGAGCGTATCCGTCGTGATCTTCATACTAGCTTTCGCTTGCATCGCCGTGTACCACCTTGCCTTCTCTTTCTTTCCCTCTCTTTCGCCATTCTCCTCCAACGTCTGCGCTCTCTACCGGCAATTTGACACCGAAATTCGACGACAGATTAATGAGACGTTCACATTCCTTCGCGTTCTCCCCTCCTCACGGAAGAATTGTTTTATATTTTCCGGCGCCTCCTCCTCCTCCTCCTCCTCCTCCTCCTCCTCCTCCTCCTCCTCTTCCTCCTCTTCATCGTCGTCATCGTCGTCGACGTCTGCGTTCTTTTCGGCCGCATAAATCCTTACGTGCTCGTTATCTAAATTCGCCTACCCCCCCCACCTCATAAATATTGCGTCGGCCGAACAACGTCGATCACGGCCGGCGTAATTTGCCGTAGTGCGCCGATTATTCCGGGGGCGTATGTTTACGCGTGTGTGTGTGTGTTCATTCACCCTCGAGCGTATGTGCGTGTGTGTGTGTGTGTGTTGCATGAACGCGGCTCTCTCGTTTAGCTTTAATGACGTTGGCCGTCATTCGACTAATTCCATTGACACACGTGTCGACTGCACGTGAAACACTCGCGCTCGCGATATTAATCAAACCGTATCGATCGAGATGACGCGGATCGACACACGAGAGAGTGAAACGCGCCCGGCCGGCGAAATTGGACGCCGCTGCAGCCAGACAGAGCAGCCAGCCACCCTCCGTCGGGGAATGCACTTGACTCTCGTAAAGTTCGAATTACGAAAGGAAATCGTTTTATGGAGACTGCCGGAATCTTCCCCTCCGCCCGGCCGTCCCGCGCGCGATCAAAATTCGAGCCGATAAATATTCGCGAATTTCGCCCGCGCTCCCCGTGAAAGATGTGCGAGCGTATTTCAGGTAGAGGAAAGAGAAAGAGGGGAAGAGTTTTTCGGTACATGCAAGCCGGCCGGTTGAGAGCGATTCGTTTGTTATTCCCCATTGCACGGCATCTATCATTACATAAAGGGCCGCCATGGTATGAACGTAGGGATCGACGTATCAAAGGAAGAGGACACGACTCCGCTGTACGTCCGTTAACCTAGCACCCGCATCGCGAAAACTTGAATTCGGATATGTTGTATAATTAAGTGCTAATTGGTTCTCATAACCCCAAGAATTTGTTGCTCCTACCCATTCGCAGGAATTTAATTTTAAAGGTCAAGTGCCGGTGCTGGCTCGACGTGTTACGCTAGCCCCACTGAAATTAACAAAAATAATAACTCCGCTGTTGTGCGTCGCGCGGTCATTACTCGGCGAGATGCAGCGCGTCCCAACGATAATCAATAAATAACCGATCGCGATTTCAGCGCGACGGTCCCCGCAAAGCGGTCCCGAGCGTCCGCGCTCGACGCCGTCGCCGTCTTTTCGACTTTGCGCGGAATCGCAAAGCGGGGGGGGGGGCGGCCCAAACACACAGGGGCCCAACGAGCGCCGCTCTGCGCAGGATTGAGCGTAAAAGCAAAAGCAGTTACGAGTGCATCGAGTCCGCGACGGCGATACGCACACGGTACGGCAGGAATCGCGTACAGCCCCGCGTGTGCTCGTTTGCGTAACGGCGCCGCTTGCTTTCTAGATCGACCGTTTACTTTCTAAGACATGCCTCGCGAGCATATTGCGCGAGGCACACATCAATTAAATCTCTAATTGTGTATCTCTCTCTCTCTCTCTCGTTACAAAGCGTAATTGCAAAACTGACGCTAACTCCGCCGAATACGGCTCGCTCCCTCCCTCCCTCCCTCCCTCCTGTGAAATCGGGAGCGATTTCTGTTCGGTTAACAGCTCGACCGGCGCGACTCACGACCGACGTCTCAGCCGTTAACCGCCGACGCGTTAATCCGTTTCTCTTTCGTTACATCGGGACGGGGGAGGGGAGGCGCGGATGTCGCACGTGTACGCT